AAAAACTGTTTGGTTCTATCTACTTTGATTTTGAAGAATTTTCAGAAAAAGATTTTCCCATAGAAAACGCATTAAATTTTTAACACTATCTTCTGAAGATCATGTGCATAACAAAAGGGGTTACAATCAGCCTTAATATACAATTATAAAAATTTATCTTTAATCTTCTATCAGGTTTCATAAATTGTTGCAACATATAACTTCGTGAAGTTACATATTATTGAAATATTAATCATACTTTCACTGCTGTTTAGAATAAATATGATTTTGGTAATTTAGTAGTGAACATGCTTATTTTTAAAACATTGTTTTTGAAATTCACTGCTTTATTATTAGGCATTTCAAGTTAAAAATTAAATGATTGAAATTATTCATTGTCTTTGATTTGAATCATCTGATGATGCATAACACTTCATAAATGTTGTAATAAAATATATGTATATTAAGCTGAGGAATTTCTGTTATATATTCAAGTTTATCATTGATATTATATTGGAAAGATTGGACGAATTCTAAATATTAGAAACATTAGACCATTTGAAATAATGATTGGAATGTATTGGGTTGTTCAGAAAGTAAGTTTGTGTTTTTTACCACTAGACGGATTAGTGGTATTTTTTCCGCCATTTTCGTTCTAAACCGTATTATCATTATATATTTTGACAGCTAGCATTTTATGGCTTATTTGTAAAAAATTTTGTTTGATTTCGTGCAATTGTTTATTTTTTGTGTCCCGTCAAATATGGAAGATCGAAAGCAGCATCTTCGGCATATTTTGCTTTTTTATTACCAAAAAAAATAAAAATGCCGTTCAAGCAAGAAAAAAATCGTGTGACATGTATGGTGGAGATGTGTTGACAGAATGGCAGTGCCAAAACTGGTTTACAAAATTTCGTTCTCGCAATTTCAGTATTGAAGATGCACCACGTTATGGATGGCCAATTGAAGCCAATGAAAACAAAATAAAAGTACCGATTGAAGCAAACTGCGGAATAACAACACGTGAAATCACTAAGAGATTAAATTTGTCAAATTGAACTGTTTATGAGTACTTGAAACAAATTGGTTTCGTTTCAAAGCTCAATATATGAATTCCACAAGTTCTTAAAGAGAAATGCTCTATTTGGTGGGATTTTAAGGAAATTTTTTTTTGGAGCTTTTACCAGAAAATTTAACAATTGATTCAAAAGTGTACTGCATTCGAGTAAACAAATTGCGTAATATCATCAAACAGAAAAAGCCGGCCAGAATTGATAAAAAAAAACAGGTGTAGTGTTTTACCACAATAATGTCAAATTTCACAGAAGTTTGGTAACTCGTCAGAAACTTGTGATCAGTCAAGATTGTGTCAGAAAAGATGGGACGTGCTCTCACACCAACCGTATTCACCAGATCGAGCACACGCAGATTATTACTTGTTCCAGTCTATACAATTTTTTTTAACTGTAAGACATTTACTTGAAATGATAATGTCAAAAATCACTTGGATTGGTTTTTTGTAAGCAACGATCAAAACTTTTATGAATGTGAAATCGTGCTACTACCAGAAACAATGACAACAGGTATTTGACCAAAATGGTCAACTTATAATTCAATAAAATATTTATTTATTATAAGAATATTGCATTTTTTTCCACGGAAAAAAACGAACTTACTTTCCGAACAACCCAATA